CCCCAAAACCCCAAAACCCCATTGCGAGAATAGTTCTCTGATAGTGGTGTATATTTATCATAAATAAATTTTGTGGACTTAAATTTAATTGTTTGAATTTAAATTTAAATGAGCAAACCTCAAAATGACAACAAATAGCCTAATTAAGGAGGTCACAGATTTCCAAATAAGGAGAATAAATACTAGTATTAAAACAAGAACAGCGGTTCTAATAATAGCAACGGCAATAAATAAGCTAAGCAGCCTATGAGTAGATAGTAAAAATACGGCAAAGATAAGCCGAAAACAAAACTCGAAGGAATATAATGTAGCTTGCTAGCAAATTATGCAAATGATATAATGGATTATTTACTCAAAAAGTATTATGAATAGTTGATACCGATACTAATGGGCGAAGATCTAGTTATTTATTATGACATAACTGTTGAGTAAGCATTGCTTTTAAATTAACTTTGATGTAGTTTGCTTGATTTCATCTTTAATTTTCCATTTTTGGGTGCAAAATTTCACGAATACCCCATTGAGTTTATTTAGTTCTTAAAAGATACCTTGATTAGTTGTGAGGAGAAAATATTTCAGAGAGATGAGAATTAACTACCACCAAACTCAACGTAAATATTTATTATGATAAGTAATTTAGAGTGAAGAAAAATCTCGATGTTAAGTTATCAATGGTTCCTCCAACAAAAGAAATAGTAGCTGAGTCAATCCGATAGGTTACATCAGAGCATTTAAACAAGTTCATCATACTTTTTGGGACAGTTGTTAGAACAGGGCATGTTCACAGCAGAGAACTATTCAAAAAGTTTTAGTGCAGACAGTGCAACTCAGAATTTACTTGCGAATCTGATATAACCGAGTTCAATAGATTCTAATTGCCTTAAAGATGTGATGGAAAAGTCTAGACGAAAATGAATCCATTCTTTAAAATTGCGAAGACTCTTATGAATCAGATTAAGTACAAGAACAAGAAAGGAGAAGTAGAAATCAACACCTCTCAAAATCAACCTAATACCGATTTAAAAACTTCTTAGTGTAAGAATAAGGCTTTTTAGCCAGTTGATGGGACTAGTGAGTTCTGTGATTATTAAGAAATAAAGCTCTAGGAGCTATTTAAAACTTTGAAACCGGGATTAATTCCCAGATCAATGGTGATTATTCTATAAAATACATTAGTTGAGGTGTGTAAGCCAGGCGATGATGTTATGATTACTGGAATACTCATATAAAGATGGAAAAATATGCCTCCAGCTCCAGGCACTAGACCCTACATAGAACTTGCTCTTGTAGCTAATAATGTTGAAGTTCTCAATAAGAGAGAGTTTTCCAAAAGCAATTAAATAAATATGGATACTCTAAATGAGTTTAAGAGATTTTGGAGAAAATATGATCCAATTGTTGGGAGATAGATACTACTAAGAAGTATATGTCCAAATTTGTATGAAAGATATGATGTAAAACTTGGATTACTTTTAACTTTAATTGGAGGTGTTCCTTAATATTAAGAGAAAAACAATTTCAAAGTCAGAGGTTAAATCCATATGCTGATGGTAGGAGAACCAGGTACTGGTAAATCATAATTACTTTAATGTGCAACTCATCTATCTTAGAGATCTGTCTAGACAACTGGCATAGGTACTACTTCAGCTGGATTAACAGTAGCTTGCTTTAAGGATGGCGCAGAATATATTTTAGAAGCTGGTGCCCTAGTTTTGGCTGATTGCGGGGTCTGCTGTATTGACGAGTTTTCCTTGATAAAGCCAGAGGATAGAGCTAGTATTCATGAGGCTATGGAATAACAAAGTATAAGTATAGCTAAAGCAGGCATAGTCTGCAAGATTAACACCAGGACTACGATAATTGCAGCAACCAACCCAGGTAAAACTCAAAAATGGGATCCTAACTATGATTTGTAGCAGAATACTGGAATAATGAGTTCTTTGCTTAGTAGATTTGATTTGATATTCATCATGCTTGATGAGCATTAAGCTGAAGATGATTTATAAAAGGCTTCGTTTATTCTAAATAAAGCTTGCTTGCATTAAGAAAAAGATAGCCTTTCACATTAAATATGGCCTTAAGAAAAACTCACTGATTATATCAATTTTGTATAAAAGGTTTTTGAACCTGTTGTCACAGAAGAGGCTGAGATTTTATTAAAAGCGTATTTTGCTTATTTAAGAATGAATCCAAAGGTAAATAAGGATAGAAAAACAGTAAGAATGCTAGAAAGTATAATAAGAATGACTGAAGCTCATGCGAGATTATTGATGAAGAGTTAAGCGACTTGCTTTGACGCTATTTGTGTAATAATTGTAATGGAGCATTCGTTAATGACTAATCTTTTTGGAATGGATGGTGTGCCTTCTGTAATGATTAAATCAGTTGAGGCATATCAACTTATTAAAAATGAGCTATGCTACAGACTTGGCCTAGATACTGAGCGATTTGGTGAGTATGATTAGTAATTTGAACTTGAAAAGAAATGTTAAACGCCTTCTCCAATCAAGCGAATAGAAGATTCGCTATTTATCAATAATACTGCAACTAATTTGGATATAAGTGCTTACGCTGGAAGTGAATTTTCCTATATATCATAGGATGAATCCTCTTAGTTCTTTAGAACCAATTCTTAATTATTCAATATAAAGGCATCCCAGCATCAAAATAAGAGTGGAGTCCCTAATAATTTCAGTGTGATTGGTAGAAATAATATTCAAATGCAACAACAAGTCAATGAAAATAGTAATTTTAAAGATACTCAATTATAAGAAGGTAATTTGAGCAAATGTGCTACGAAGTATCTTGACACCACTAATCCCATATTAGAAGAAAGGAGCAGTGATATGCTATAACTGGATGAATTAGGATCTGATGAACTAAATGATTTACTTGATGAATATTCTCAATCATTTCTTGTACATGACAGTGAAATCATAAAGTAACTTGAAGAATCAAAATCTTAGTAATCTCATCTCTCCTCTTTGAAATTATCTGAGGAATTAAATTTACAAGAATAAAGTTAAAATCTGTAATTAGAAGAAGAAGAAGAAAAAGCTGATCTAAATATAGGTTATCAAACCTAAGTATAAGATTAGCCCCAATAGTTATCTTCCTAATAGAACATAAATTAAACATTGACTTCTTCATTAAAAACTAATATAAAGAATAAACTACTAACTAAATTCAAGCTAGATTTTACAGAATAACCTGATTAGAAGCAATAAATTTTAAATGATAGCGCAAAGTTTAACGAATATTAGCACCTAAAGGATAAAAAATATTCTTAATAAATTGCAATCAAAGAATTCTAAGATGAGTACTCATCATAATTGGAGAAATTTGAGTTGGAAAAAAACTTGATTGATGATGATGGTTGGGGATTTAAAAGTGCAAATAAATCTTAAAATGAATATGCTAACGAAGAAGATTAAGAAGATATGAATGCTCATAATGATTTTCTATTCGATTGATCGATTATATCATATTAAAAATATCACTTGTATGAAATACTCTTCTTAAAGAAGATATTATTGTGAAAATTGAGTTGATCTTTACAGGTAATTAATTGTATCTTTATTTCATAAATCCCTTTTTACAACAAATTTAATATACATGGGGTTTTGGGGTTTTGGGG